ACATATGAAAGGGGTGTAGTGTAATTTATTGCCCTTCTTATATCGTCCCCAAGATACAACAACAATTAAACAATTATTACAAAATTAAAATGACATCCTCTCTCTCTAAACCGACATGGGGGTTAGTAAAAATCCAAATTGACTCACGATACTATACTGGGTTCTGGTCTACCTCTCAGGTGAAGTATCCGTGTAAAATACAAATCCGTACTCAGTGTCATCAAATGAAACACCACAATTAACTCACTGACCGCAATTTACCGTAATTCCAATATCGCAAAATCCCTTTTCGTAAAGTCCCTTGTCGGAACTCTCCCAATTAACTCTTGATCGCAAAAAAATCTTTTCGCAACTCATTTTTTAACTGACTTTCGCAATTTCCCTATCGTAATTCACTTTCGCGACCCTCTTCCGCAACTCTCCGATCGCACCTGTCTCAAATAACTGACTCATTAGTATTCCCAAGTCCGACAAACTGTTCCAAACACTTTTTCCTTGTACCGTCCCCTGATTGGTCTTTGTTTAATATTCCCGAATTTTTTTCATAATCCTTTCTACTCAAGACCTATATCTTCTTTTCATCGAAGTAATTGGTCAGTTTTTATTTTGAATAAATTTTTGGGCCCACCTATTCAATTATGGCCGAACTTCCTGTCCACGAAGCTGAAATGCAAACTCGTAGCTTGCATTTTCGCGTTCCCAGTATTATAACTAATCAACAGGATACGTTCGTTTAGTCTATCCTGAACGAAACATAACTTTTTTGATGCAGACAAAGTTCAACAATCATAAATTAAATTCAACGCTCATTTGTTGGAAAAGGATCGGTACCGAAAAACCGGGTGCCCGACCCCCCGACTCAGCTGTTCCTGATTTGCTGGTTTTTCCTCACTGCATATTTGTTGTGCTCGCCAATGTGGATTCTCAACGGATTCTTGGATTCGCCCCAAGCACATGGTTCGAGTCGTAGAGTCCTTTGGTGGACTGCTTCATGTGAGGCTACCGAATCTGAAGCACATGTAACGAGTGTTTATCAGAGATTTCTTTTGTGACTTAGCAAAAAATGAAATGGTCTTCACAAGACGATCGCTATTCGAGCGAATTTGCAGTAAGTTTGGTTTGCCATTATCTTGAACCTGAACAACGTTTGGATGAATTGAAAGGGTATATTTTAAGGACACACTGCAAAAAATGTGAGTAAAATTTCGTGATGCATTCTGTAAATTTCACGGTATATATTAAGGAATCATTATTTTTCGTGATGTTTAACGCATAAATCCTAAAGCCCAGTATTATTTCTATTTTGATATGGTAAGTTTACATATGCTATGTACTTTTCACAAATTATTCTTCAATTTTGCAAGTTCTATTTGGTAAAAATATTGATTCGATATTTATCCTGGAAAAAGTCATAGTACTTTACTAAGTTTCCGTTTATAATATTGTATTATGTTAACACACTTTATTAGTTCTGTAGTAGTACATTGTAAATAACCAGTAAATATTTTGTAATTATTTATTTCCAACTCATCCCAGAAAAAAATGTGTATTGAATGGGCTCATAAGCTGTGATTGGTTCGAGTAAATATTGCAGAGAAGTAAAATATATGTTTTTTCAAGGTGATGTGTATTACATTAAATATAATTTTAGGTTTGTTCGAAATGGCATGGAAAAAACTTTTTCAAATTGGGTGGAATTGGCGAAATCGTTGAAATTGACGAAGCTTATTTTAGAAAGAGAAAATATAGTAGAGGACGAGTGGTAGAGAGATAATGGCTTTTATGAAAACACTGCGTGTGGCGAATATCCGCCAAACTCTGACGCGGGACGTTTCCATCACACTTGCGAGTCCAAGAGTGCTGCTGACCACCAAACAGCACTGCCTTGATATGCTAGGAATGTCAGTGGCTACCAAGAAGTCACAAGTGAGGTGAGTGGGAAGTATCGCGGAAAACCTCAGGTTCTGCGAGAAACCTTCTCGCTTATTCCAAGAGCCTCCGCGTGTTGTGGATAATCCGTCTTCCGCTGATCAGGTGGAATACTTCTGGAAGGACATCTATGAACAACCGCAGCCACTCAATTTAGACGCTCCAGCCTTAGTGCAGTTCGAAGCTTCCGGCAGAGAACTTCGACAGCCTGAGCTCAATGACCTGCGCAACACGATAACCCCGGATAACGTTCAAAGAGCCCTTGTGGGTTCCAAAAACTCCAGGTCGATTTGATGGAAAAAACTACCAAGCACCCAACGCCATCTGGTCAGAATTTTCAACTCATGGCTTGACGGAGAGCAGCCGATTCCGGATTGGTTGAACGAGGGGGGCCGTTCTCAACCCAAGAAGCAGAGATTTATCGATTCCTAAGAATTACAGATTGATAACATGCTTAAATTCGTGTTATAAGCTTTTTACGAACCTCTCATACTCACCAAAACTAACCGCAGTTGATCGGTTCGCAGTAAATCCGTCCGAACGGATATATGAGCAAAGGGAGTCAAAGAGAGGAGTCGCTGGATGTGAAGAGAACCTACTCATCGATAGATGTGTAACGCAGGACACGATACAGTATAAGCGTAAGCTCTCTATGGCATGGATCGATTACCGTAGCATTTGATACAATATCGCATGAGTTCATCTTGCATTTGTCCAGATGTCTTGCGGTACCCGACAACATAGTGAGATGCATTGAACAACTGATACCACTTTGGCGAACTCGCTTCACCATAACATCTGGTCAAGCAAGAGTCCAAACAGGGTGGGTCACTTTCAGAAGGGTTGTATTTCAGGGCGATTCCCTCAGTCCCTCTTATGCATCTCACTATTGCCATTATCCGTTGTGCTCAGAAATACTCGAGGGTATAACTGTGACACTCCTGAAAACCGGATGCACTAGGTCTCCCATTTGTTTTATATAGATGATCTTAAACTTTATGCCTCTAGAGAAAAGAATCTCCATCAGTCCTTGAGGATTGTGGGGGGTTACACGCATGCTGGCGGTATGAAATTCAGGATAGACAAAGTATTTTAAATAATTTGTGACTTGTTGCATTGGACATGAAGTTAAAGATTTGAAATTATTTCTATGTGAAACGGTTTATTCTCATATAGTGATGTATTATGTCTAGGAAGTCTTAGATAATTGCCATGTCTGGTACAGTAACCATAATTTTCGTATTTGTGATGCACTGTTTGGAACCTTTGGTGTAGTAATGAATATTACTGGAGTTTTTTCCTAACACCAAAGCGTTATTTCAACACCTCGACAGGTGTTTCGATTACCAAATGATCATCTCCAAGAGGAAGATCAAACTTGAAGATGATCACTTGGTGATCGAAACACGTGTCGAGGTGTTGACATCACGGTTTGGTGTTTACAAAAAACTCCAGTAATATTCATGATTCTTGTTTTTTTTATCACATTATTTCACATTATCACGTTATTTTTTATCACAAATATATTGGAGAATGTTAAAATTTTATGTTCACAAAAATATCTTTTACATGAGTCTCTTGGGGGAATATTAGTCTGTTTATTCTTTTAAACACTTCAATGTGTGATTTTCAATAAACAGTTTTACAAAAATGCAACACGTGTTTTGACATACAATGGTTTCTTTCACATATTCAATGCTTAATATTTTTATATATCTATTTTTGAGGGTAGATACCTACTCACCTGTTACACAATTCGAATTGATAGTTTTGAACATACTTTTGTGAATTTAATCAGATACCTATAGGATATCTACCGGGTTTCCCTCAGAAAAGTGATATGAGATTGTGTGGTAGTTGCAATAAAAGCATCATCTTCCATGAATATTACTGGAGTTTTTTCCCAACACCAAATCGTTATTTTCAACACCTCGACACATGTTTCGATAACCAAGTGATCATCTTCAACGAGGAAGATAAAACTAACTATCATAAAACTAACTAATCATCTTCTAGTCATGAAAGGTCGGCGGATCTTTCAGCTCTGTTACGCCAGCGACGCAATGCCA